AATTACAACATGCAAATGAACACAAATAAATAGACATGCAAATGAACACAACTAAATGGACATGCAAATGAAAGAATGATTACAAACAAACAAAAGTCACAATTCAAACATAATACACACAACTAAAATGTTAGTTATTAAAAATTAAAAAAAATCAGCAAAATGTCTCATCACAGCTACTTCCATACACTCTGTTTGCGGTCAAGATCTAAGACATTGCTTGGAACATCAAATACTTTCAGATTGAATTAATCTAAATTTTCACTTTATTAAACTTTTCACTGATTTATTATTGACTTTTATAACACCTGTAACATCAATAAGATGTATGGCTCACTATATATTCACTTCATTTGATATTACACTAATTTCACAGCTTTCTACTGATATGACACTACCGGTTGATATCATCATCACATTTCAATGACCAACCTTTAAACATATTTCGAAACATGAATATAAATAGCATTTACGCTATAATAACTCTGGCAATTTATATTTCACCAATATCTTCCGGTTTCTCAGATCAAACGGAACTACTAAACAATTTACACCAACTTCCGGTAAATCAAACACCAACTTCCGGCAAAACTAACACCAACTTCTGTATACGCAAAATACATAATTTCTGCCACATAACATAAATACTGGCCGTTGTATGATACGTTAAGCTAACCCTCGTAACTGGTGTTTGGGAAGATCTGTGTCAATAAATGGGACGTACGTTGTCTGACCCATTTCAACGCTGCCGCTTCAAAACTGAGCATAAAATTGAATAGAAAAACCCCTGAGCAAATTCAATATATTGTCCTGTGAAACTCCATGTCCTGAACTGACAATTCTGAGGTATCAACAAATATGAATGAACTGCAGCAGACTAAACGTCTGTTCACATCAAAATCTAGGTGTGCTCTGCCTATCTACTTTACCTGTATAAAAACCCATGTGCCGCATGTCACATGATTTACCTGGCGCGTAAATTAATGAGTGGAGTGTCAATCAGGGTGCAATTTATACATACCTTTATAAGCCATGAATATAAGATAGTGAGCTGCATTTCATGAATTACAATTTATGAATAATAAGCAAATAATTAATAAAACATAAAAATCACATAACGAAGTTCGTCACAAACACATACAAGATCAATGATAATTCATCATGTCAGTTTGTCGGATATAAGTAATAAATAACTGATATGAATGAATCATAAAAATCCAGAAAACCTCTAGTTTTTTAATTATTGTCAAAAGCAGTTTTAAGTGAACGATCACAATAATTATTTCGTAAATAAAATCTTTGAGACCTGAGCAGACTTAGTTTCAATTTATAACATTCATAGGACATTATAACTATATTAAAAGTTTCGATGAAAGTGAATAGACCGGTGTGCTTGAAAACACAGTGGTTAAAAATCGGAAGACTTTGTGAAAATAAAATTATCAGTAACAACTTGAAAATGTATTCATGTAAAGAGCTTAACATTTGTTTTTTTTTTCTAGATCAATTTTTACAATATATATCAAATAATTTATATCGATTATTTACTGTGTTCATTTTTTTTTTTCAATATTTGCACAACATCCATTCTTTTCATTCAATAAGTCAAACATTTGGATTTTGTATAGTGAGCACTTTCATAAAGATAAAAATATTACAGTTATAGGACAAACTCCAGGTTTTGGATTTCTTCAGCAAAATAGCAAGAACTTTAACCAATTAACAGCTCATTGATAAATCATTTATTCAAACACTTGTTTATTTATCTTCACAGCAGGAAATCGTCTGATTACTACAATATTGTAGATGACTGACCAGAAATGACCACCTGTGTACTATGGATTGTAAAAATACTGTTACTACATAGATTGTTATCAGAATCAGCTAGTGGCAAACTCTACTGACTTTTCAATTTTATATACACAAGATCCCCCCCCCCCCTTTTCCCTTTTTTAAGTAAATGCAAGGCAAGGCAAACATTTGAAAACAGAGTATTTGTGTTTAGTATTTTTTTTATTAATGCATATAACTTATAACTAAGTCTGCAATACATATATGAACAAGAAATGAACGATTTTTTAAATTAACCTTCTATTTTCAAAAATATTTTGTGTGTACTGGAGTTATCGAATTTAATGTTCTGGTACAACAGGCACATTGTTTAACTAAGAGACGCTTCTTCTATACAATGACAGCATCCAGAGAATTATTGTTTTCTTTTTTTCAATATTTTACTGTTATAAGTTGTTTTTCTGCACTAATATTATTATAAATTAACTGATTACAAAACTTTGAATTTTTCTAAATACTAATGATTTTTTTATTCTAGAAATAGATTACCTTATCTGTATTTTGCAAAACCTTTAGTAATCGAAACGTGCGTCTGACGTTCAAAATTTGATGCCTGGTATCTATGATGAGTTTATTTAGATACAGTCTGAGGTTCACGTTTTTTAGATATCTATAACGTTGTCGAATTGAATGATATAATTAGATTCTTCAAGATCAAGGGTAAAATTTAAACTATTTGTTTAAATTTTCCTTACTTTACTGCCTTTTATCAGTAAAGTAAGGAAAATTTAAACAAATATTTTAAATTTCAACACAAGACTAAATCTAAAAATTAAGGCATTTTCCCATTTGAATGGTTTTACACTAGTAATTTTCGGGCCCTTTATAGCTTGCTGTTCGGTGTGAGCCAAGGCTCCGTGTTGAAGACCGTACTTTGACCTATTGGTTTTCTTTTATAAATTTTGACTTGGATGGAGAGTTGTCTCATTGGCACTCATACCACATCTTCTTATATCTATTGTGTTAAAGTTTCGAGACATCAATAACTTTATGGAATTTTATGGATAGGGACAGAAGTTTCATTTAGACACAGTCCAGCTAACAAAATATCAATAACCTTTCTCAAACCTTCATGTAATTTCAGGAAACTTTTAAAGAAGATTCTTCATACTCGATAAGTACCTGACACTGTAGAGAAGAATTTAGAATTTTCCACCCATTTTTTTGTAATTTACAAATAAATTGTTTTTTTGGCAGTCAACCTTTGAGATATAGTCTGTTGTAAAAGATTTTGAATAACTTTGTCAAACCATCATTGAATTTTACAAAATTTTGTGGTTGTCTTTCGGATACAAATTGATTCACTTTGGTTAGCGTCGTCCGCCGATTTAACGGTCAACAAATAAAAGGGGTAGGGCCGATTACCCAAAAAAAAAATGTTCACACTAGGGTCATTTTCAACAAGTCTATCAATCTTTACTGAGATTCATAGTACCACAGCCCAAAGTGTACACATTTTTTTACAATATAATAAACATATCATCTATTATAAACACCTAAAGATATCTCAAAACCGCGATTTTTGCAAACATTTGCTTTTTAGTATTCATTCCACAACTGTATAAGAAGCTCATCGTTGACCAAAACCAAAATTATGTTAAAAGTAACGCCATGTGTTGTCTTTCGGACTCTTAGTAATCCGTTTTGGTTACTGATGTCCTTCGATGCAAAATTTGACAAAAACATATAAAATTTCCAAATTGTATCCATATGTCTACAACAGCAACATGTGACGCTGAATAGCATTTTGAGTTTTTGGAAATAAATGCGTAAACTTATCAAAAAACTAATTTAATTATGTGATTAGATATAAGAAGATGTGGTATGAGTGCCAATGAGACAACTCTCCATCGAAGCCTGCAGTAAATAGATATAAGAAGATGTGGTATGAGTGCCAATTAGACAACTCTCCATCCAAGATATATACTTTAATATTAAATTTCAAGTAAAATAAAGATATGTTTTGTGTTTTGCGACTTAAAAAAAACAGAAGTCGCAGCAATCATATCACTTGTGTTATATTGTGATGTAAACGAAGTATGGTGGGAATTACAATAATGTGCCAGAATGTGGTTACACACATCTTCTTTTGGACTGCTAAATCTCGATTTAAAGTTTGAACCTTTTTGTTGAAATTTATATAAATAACGTATACATATTATGATCTATTATCGTCCCGAATATTCGTGTAATATTGGCTGATGCACATTAGTCATCAATTCTAACCAGCCTTCAAAACTCAAAAGTATAGATCACGCACCTAATTGTTATGATTGTTAAAGTCTTCTTCATTTGTCGACTATATCTTCAATTTATAAACTATTGATCTGATAAAGTGTGTATATACTTTAACGGACGGGCAAGTTTTCTTATCGGTTAAGTAGTAACCTTCCTTGTTAATGTGATAAAGTAATAAGGTTTATATATTTCTACTATCTTTATAGTATATTTCATTGTATAATTGTAATTCATTTAATATCTAAATATTACAATCTTATATCTTATTATAGTAAAAAACAAGAAAATTTGAAAGTATTTTTTTCAGTAATTACCTTATTTCACTTCATAAGTCAGGCGGTCTATTTTGTCTACATAAAGTTTGACGTCTACATGTTGATATTGCGTAAATAAAATCGAACTACGTTGACATTTTGTAATTCCGAAGACTACGAAACATTATATAGAAATACTGTTAATATATAAACGAGAAATACATAGTACTAGATACAGAAATTGAAACTAAATGTCGTTTTTCGTTTTTGTCTTGTGATATCAAAATCGAAAAGCGAAAACACTTCCGTTCTTTAATTTTTTTGTTTTAAGATATCAAAATAGAAAAACGAAAACACTTCCGTTTTTCATTTTTTGTTTTCAGAAATCAAAAACGAAAAACAAAAGTGTTTTCGTTTTTCGTTTTTTGTTTTATGAAATCAAAAACGAAAAATTATAACACTTTCATTTTTTGTTTTATGAAAGCAAATATACACGGACCGTACTAATGACAATTTCTTATTGCAATCTGATGTCGGGTACCGGTTTGACCATACGCTTAGTGCGAGTCTATGTTGTTTTACTTTCTTTAATTACATAAATTGCTTTTTTTTTTATTTTATATTATTTTAAAATTGTTATTTTGATTTTCTATCCAGTGTGGTGACAATGCACTGCACCTGGCTGCACAGAACGGAAACACAGAAACCGTCAAGTTGCTGATTGACTGTGGTGTTGATCTCAATATACAAGGACAGGTCAGTGGATGATAAAAATTGTATTTTTTCCAAGATTTTCTACCATGGTACAGGTAATACAAGTAAAAAACACCTGTTCCTTTGCTCACCCGGTTTGGGTGCCGGATGTAATAAATTATCAATCATATAGGATATCTAAACATTCAATAGGATTTCAACAAAAATGTATCAGATAAAACAGGGAGATAATACACCAAGGGGGCATTCTCTAATTACAACTCTCCCCCACCCCTCCCCCCTAAAAAAAGAAAAAACGACGGAAGCACAAGCAGCAATAACAAAACATCACACAGAAAACTAGACTGGGAAATACGAACCCATTAAAAACTGAGATGAACTGGTAATCTGCGGACGGGTATTCAGTGTTACATGTTTCTGTTAAAAACATATGGATACAATTTGGAAATTTTATATGTTTTTGTCAAACTTTGCATCGAAGGACATCAATAACCAAAACGAATAACTAAGAGTCCAAAAGACAATACATAGCGTTACTTTCAACATAATTTTGGTTTTGGTCAACGATGAATAAAGGCAATAGTAGTATACCGCTGTTCAATAGTCATAAATCGATTTAACTGAAACAAATCCGGGTCACAAACAAAAACTGAGGGAAACGCCTCAATTATAAGAGGAAACAAAACGGAACAACAGAAACACTGAACTGCTACAAAAACAAACGCCAACATACATAGAAACGGACTATGTGATAACAACTGCCATATTCCTGATCATGACTTGGAACAGGACATTTTAAGAACACATGGTGGGTTGAACCTGGTTTTTTGGCTAGCCAAACCTCCCGCTTATATGGCAATGTTAAAAATACCGCTAAAATGACAACATTACGTGACAGGAATACAGTGCTAATAAATGCAAGAACATTCAGGAAAGAGAAATACATAAATAAATAATATAATAGTCCATTTCAACATGTAAACCACAGAATAACAACGAACACCTAAAATTAATTTACGACAGAACACAAATACAGCACAATAGAATAATGAAATGTACGTCACACGAATGAATCAACGCCACAAAAAGTGAGCTTTTTATACATTTTAAGAATGAATACTAAAAAGCAAAGATTTGCAAAAAATAATTTAGGACTCTGAACCTAGATGGTATACCGAACCGCGATGGTCAAATTGCGATGGTTTGACGCTGAAGTGCATTTTTGATCAAGCTGGAGTGCGATGGTAGCATTGTGCGCTATCTTGTTTAGAGCTACGCCGAAGTAAGTTGGTGGTACCATTGAAGTGCGATGGATTGCATCAACTATATTTTCATTGTTTTCCATGTTCATGTGATCAAAAATGCACTTCAGCGTCAAACCATCGCACTTTGACCATCGCGGTTCGGAATATCATCGCGGTTCACAGTCCCAGATATATAGTAAATTTTTTAGACGTATTGTCTTTCGGGCAAATGCACTTCAGCGTCAGACCATCGCGGTTTGGAGTACCATCGCGTTTCAAAGTCCTAGATATAGAGTAAATCTATTTTATGTTTTGTCCTTCGGATACAAATTAATTCACTTTGGTTAGCGTCGTCCGCCGATTTAACAGTCAACAAATATAAGGGGTAGGGCCGATTACCCTAAAATAAAACTTTCACACTAGGGTCATTTTCAAAAAGTCTATCAATCTTTACTGAGATTCATAGTACCACAGCCCAAAGTGTACACTTTTTTTTTACAATATAATCACTTAATTATAAACATATCACCTATTATAAACACATAAAGATATCTCAAAACCGCGATTATTGCAAACATTTGCTTTTTAATGTTTATTCCTCAACTGTATAAGAAGCCCATCGTTGACCAAAACCACAATTATGTTAAAAGTAACGCCATGAGTTGTCTTTCGGACTCTTAGTTATCCGTTTTGGTTATTGATGTCCTTCGATGCAAAATTTGACAAAAACATATAAATTTCCAAATTGTATCCATATGTCTACAACAGCAACATGTGACGCTGAATAGCATTTTGAGTTTTTGGAAATAAATGCGTAAACTTATCAAAAAACAAATTTAATTATGTGATATATACTTTAATATTAAATTTCAAGTAAAATAAAGATATGTTTTGTATTTTGCGACTTAAAATAACAGAAGTCGCAGCAATCATATCACTTGTGTTATATTGTGATGTAAACGAAGTATGGTGGGAATTACAATAATGTGCCAGAATGTGGTTACACACATCTTCTTTTGGGCTGCTTTCTGTTGATTTATAAAATGGTCTGCTAAATCTCGATTCAAAGTTTGAACTTTTTTGTTGGAATTTATATATTTAGCGTATACATATTATGATCTATTATCGTCCCGAATATTCGTGTAAAATTGGCTGATGCACATTAGTCATCAATTCTAACCAGCCTTCAAAACTCGAAAGTATAGATCACGCACCTAATTGTTATGATTGTTAAAGTCTTCTTCATTTGTCGACTTTATCTTCAATTTATATACTATTGATCTGATAAACTGTGTATATACTTTAACGGCCGGGCTAGTTTTCTAATCGGTTAAGTAGTAGCCTCCCTTGTTAATGTGATAAAGTAATGAGGTATATATATTTCTACTATCTTTATAGTATATTTCATTGTATAATTAAATTTGTAATGCATTTAATATTTAAATATAACAATCTTATATCTTATTATAGTAAAAAACAAGAAAAATTTTTAAGTATTTTTTTCATTAATTACCTGATATCACTTCATAAGTCAAGCGGTCTATTGTGTCTACATTAAATTTGACGTCTACATGTTGATATTGCGTAAATAAAATCGAACTACGTTGACATTTTATAATTCTGATGACTATGAAACATTATATAGAAGCATTGTTAATATATAAACGAGAAATACATAGTACCAATTACAGAAATCAAACTAAATGTCGTTTTCGTTTTTGTCTTGTGATATCAAAATCGAAAAACGAAAACACTTCCGTTTCTCATTTTTTGTTTTAAGATATCAAAATAGAAAAACGAAAGCACTTCCGTTTTTCATTTTTTGTTTTAAGAAATCAAAAACGAATGGACGCAAATATACACAGATCGTACTAATGGCAATTTCTTATTGCCATCTGATGTTGGGTACCGGTTTGACTATACGCTTAGTGCGAGTCTATGTTGTTTTAATTTCTTTAATTACATAAGTTGCTTCCTTTTTAAATTTATATTATTTTAAAATTGTTTTTTTGTTTTTTTATCCAGTGTGGTGACACTAAACCGCACCTGGCTGCACAGAAAAGAAACACAGAAACCGCACCTAATTGCTAAAATTGTTAAAGTCTTCTTTATTCGTCGACTATATCTCAGATTTATATACTTTTGATCTGATAACCGTTGGGTATACTTTAACGGCTGGGCTAGTAGTAGTAACCTACCTTGTTAACGTGATAAAGCATTGAAATATATATATTTCTACTATCTTTATAGTATATTTCATTGTATAATTTAAATTTGTAATTCATTTAATATTTAAATATTACAATTGTATTTCTTATTATAGATAAAAACAAGAAAATTTTTAAGTATTTTTTTCATTAATTACCTTATTTCACTTTATAAGTCAGGCGGTCTATTTTGTCTACATAAACTTTGACGTCTACATGTTGATATTGCGTAAGTAAAACCGAACTACGTTGACATTTTATAATTCCGAAGACTACAAAACATTATATAGAAATATTGTTAATATATAAACGAGAAATACATAGTACTAAATACAGAAATTGAAACTAAATGGTCGTTTTTTCGTTTTTGTTTTGTGATATCAAAATCGAAAAGCGAAAAATGATAACACTTTCATTTTTTGTTTTATGAAAGCAAATATACACGGACCGTACTACTGACAATTTCTTATTGCAATCTGATGTCGGATACCGGTTTGAACATACGCTTTGTGCGAATCTATGTTGTTTTACTTTCTTTAATTACATAAATTGCTTCTTTTTTATTTTATATTATTTTAAAATTGTTATTTTGATTTTCTATCCAGTTTGGTGACACTGCACTGCACCTGGCTGCACAGAACGGAAACACAGAAACCGTCAAGTTGCTGATTAACTATGGTATTGATCTCAATATACAAGGACAGGTCAGTGGATGATAAAAATTGTATTTTTGCCAAGATTTTCTACCATGGTACAGGTAATACAAGTAAAAAACACCTGTTCCTTTGCTCACCCGGTTTGGGTGCCGGATGTAATTAATTATCAAGCATATGCGATATCTAAACATTCAATAGGATTTTAACAAAAACGTATCAGATAAAACAGAGAGAGAATACACCAAGGGGGTATTCTATAATTATAACTGCCACACCCCCCTTCTCCCATCCCCCCTAAAAAAAGAAAAAAACGACGGAAGCACAAGCAGCAATAACAAAACATCACACAGAAAACTAGACTCGGAAATACGAACCCATTAAAAACTAAGATGAACTCGTAATCTGCGGACGGGTATTCAGTGTTACATGTTTCTGTTAAAGACATATGGATACAATATGGAAATTTTATATGTTTTTGTCAAATTTTGCATCGAAGGACATCGATAACCAAAACGAATAACTAAGAGTCCAAAAGACAATACATAGCGTTACTTTCAACATAATTTTGGTTTTGGTCAACGATGAATAAAGGCAATAGTAGTATACCGCTGTTCAATAGTCATAAATCGATTTAACTGAAACAAATCCGGGTCACAAACAAAAACTGAGGGAAACGCCTCAACTATAAGAGGAAACAAAACGGAACAATAGAAACACTGAACTGCTACAACAAACGCCAACATACATAGAAACGGACTATGTGATAACAACTGCCATATTCCTGACTTGGAACAGGACATTTTAAGGACATTTTAAGAAAAAATGGTGGGTTGAACCTGGTTTTGTGGCTAGCCAAACCTCCCGCTTATATGGCAATGTTAAAAATACCGCTAAAATGACAACATTACGTGACAAGAATACAGTGCTAATAAATGCAAGAACATTCAGGACAGAGAAATACATAAATAAACAATATAATTGTCCATTTCAACATGTAAACCACAGAATAACAACGAACACCTAAAATTAATTTACGACAGAACACAAATACAGCACAATAGAATAATGAACTGTGCGTCACACGAATGTATCAACGCCTCAAAAAGTGAGCTATTTATACATTTAAAGAATGAATACTAAAAAGCAAAGATTTGCAAAAAATAATTTAGGACTCTGAACCTAGATGGTACTCCGAACCGCGATGGTCAAAGTGCGATGGTTTGACGCTGAAGTGCATTTTGATCAAGCTGGAATACGATGGTAGCATTGTGCGCTATCTTGTTTAGAGCTACGCCGAAGTAGGTTGGTGGTACCGCTGAAGTGCGATGGATTGCATCAACTATATTATCATTGTTTTCCATGTTCATGTGATCAAAAATGCACTTCAGCGTCAAACCATCGCACTTTGACCATCGCGGTTCGGAATATCATCGCGGTCAACAGTACTTAATATATAGTAAATTTTTTAAACGTATTGTCTTTCGGAAGAAATGCACTTCAGAGTCAAACCATTTCACTTTGACCATCGCGGTTTGGAGTACAATCGCGGTTCAGAGTTCTAGATATATAGTAAATCTTTATATGTACTGTCTTTTGGATACAAATTAATTCACTTTGGTAAGCGTCGTCCGCCGATTTAACAGTCAACAAATAAAAGGGGTAGGGCCGATTACCCTAATTTTTTTTTCACACTAGGGTCATTTTCAAAAAGTCTATCAATCTTTACTGAGATTCATAGTACCACAGCCCAAAGTGTACACTTTATTTTTACAATATAATCATTTAATTATAAACATATCACCTATTATAAACACCTACAGATATCTCAAAACCGCGATTTGTGCAAACTTTTGCTTTTTAGTATTCATTCCTCAACTGTATAAGAAGCTCATTGTTAACCAAAACCAAAATTATGTTAAAAGTAAAGCTATGTATTGTCTTTCGGACTCTGAGTAATCCGTTTTGGTTATTGATGTCCTTCGATGCAAAATTTGACAAAAACATATAAAATTTCCAAATTGTATCCATATGTCTACAACAGCAACATGTGGCGCTGAATAGCATTTTGAGTTTTTGGAAATAAATGCGTAAACTTATCAAAAAAGAAATTTAATTATGTGATATATACGTTAATATTAAATTTCAAGTAAAATAAAGATATGTTCTGTGTTTTGCGACTAAAAAAAACAGAAGTCCCAGCAATCATATCACTTGTTTTATATTGTGATGTAAACGAAGTATGGTGGGAATTACAATAATGTGCCAGAACGTGGTTACACACATCTTCTTTTGGACTGCTTTCTGTTGATTCATAAAATGGTCCGCTAAATCAAGATTTAAAGTGTGAACTTTTTTGTTGGAATTTATATAAATAACGTATACATATTATGATCTAATATCGTCCCGAATGTTCGTGTAATATTGGCTGATGCACATAAGTCATCAATTCTAACCAGCCTTTAAACCTCAAAAGTATAGATCACGCACGTAATTGTTAAGATTGTTAAAGTCGTCTTCATTTGTCAGCTATATCTCTAATTTATATACTATTGATCTGATAAACTCTGTATATACTGTAACGGCCGGGCTAGTTTTCTTATTGGTTAAGTGGTAACCTCCCCTTGTTAATGTGATAAAGTAATGATATATATATATTACTACTATCTTTATAGTATATTTCATTGTATAATTGAAATTTGTAATTCATTTAATATTTAAATATTACAATCTTATATCTTATTAGAGATAAAAACAAGAAAATTTGAAAGTCTTTTTGTTCATTAATTACCTTATATCACTTCATAAGTCAGGCGGTCTATTTTGTCTACATTAAATTTGACGTCTACATGTTAATATTGCGTAAATAAAATTGAACTACGTGGACATTTTGTAATTCTGATGACTATGAAACATTATATCGAAGCATTGTTAATTTATAAACGAGAAATACATAGTACCAAATACAGAATTGAAATAAATGTCGTTTTCTTTTTTGTCTTGTGATATATAACTCTTCCGTTTTTCATTTTTTGTTTTAAGATATCAAAATCGAAAAACGAAAACACTTCCGTTTTTTATTTTTTGTTTTAAGAAAACGAAAAACGAAAGTATTTCAAAACTAAAAACGAATGGACGCAAATATACACGGACCGTACTAATGGCAATTTCTTATTGCAATCTAATGTCGGGTACCGGTTTGACTATACGCTTAGTGCGAGTCTATGTTGTTTTAATTTATTAATTACATAAGTTGCTTCCTTTTTTATTTGATATTATTTTAAAATTGTTATTTTGTTTTTCTATCCAGTGTGGTGACACTGCACTGCACCATGCTGCACAGAAAGGGAACACAGAAACCGTCAAGTTGCTGATTGACGGTGGTATTGATCTCAATATACAAGGACAGGTCAGTGGATGATAAAAAATTGTATTTTTGCCAAGATTTTCTGCCATGGTACAGGTAATACAAGTAAACAACACCTGTTCCTTTGCTCACCTGGTTTGTGCGGTGGATGTAATTAATTATCAATCGTATGCGACATCTAAACATTCAATAGGATTTTAACGAAAACTTATCAGATAAAACAGAGAGAGAATACATCAAGGGGGCATTCGACAATTATACCTCCCCCCTCCCTCCTAAAAAAAACGAAAAAAAAAACGACGGAAGCACAAGCAGCAATAACAAAACATCACCACACAGAGAACTAGAGACTGGGAAATACGAACCCATTAAAAACTGATGTGAACTCATAATCTGCGGACGGGTAAATAGCTCTTGCTCCGAATGTGGCACTCGTCTTGTCGCTTAAGCAATTAAAAATCCAGTAATAAGTTGCACATTGTAATATCACATTGTAGGACATGAAGGCGGGATTGTGGTTACGACAAATGCAACATATCCGTATTCCTATGTGGCAGAGATATTCCATAACGATAAAAAAACATGATGGCGTCAGTGTACCTTTCGAATAGATGACTTCAAAATTATCATTTGCAATGCTTGATGCAATAACTTCCTTTTAAGCAGTAACCCTATCGAGCGAATCATTACAGAAAACGCAATTTCTGGAATATTGCATCAACTATCCTCCATATGCAGGCGCTGCTGGAATGTTGCTGCACTGACAAAAAGCAGATTTAAACGTTATCACTATAAGAGAATATTGTTATGCAACATTTGAAAACAGCTGTAATAAAAGGCAATCGACCTTAACTTTAGAATATGCATCAGCTGAAAAATGTCGACATTTAAAATAAAACTATTATTTGATTGGTTAAAAAAATTCAGAATCTAAGTAAAATAAAAAAAGAAAATAGTTTTTTCACACATTTGACGTCATTCAGCAATATATATTGCCAGGCCGTTGTCAATGAATAAGAATCATAACGAAGTGGGAAAAAAAAGATTCTAGCGTTTTCTTCTTTATTTACATTAAAAGACAACGTCATAAAAAGAATAATTCATCCAATAATATCTTAACTTTGAATTCCAGTAATAATTTTAATTGTTGCAATCGTTATTCTAAAATCTGTGTATAAACCATCTTAACTAAACATACTAACATTCATACAAAAATGTATTTCTCAAAGATTAAGGCAGGACATATGAATGACATCAATACTTTAAACTGAGGTGAATGGAGTTCTCGTTGACAACACAGACAAACAGTAAGGAGAGTAGTGCGCGCTGATCATGTTAGGTCAGAAATGAATACGACATTACTGTAATAATCATGACGGTACGCGGATCTAGCAAATGGAGCATGCCATTCAATATTTAAATCAAGTTAAAGCAACTTTACATGATTGTGACAAATTCACACAATGGAAAAAACTGTATTGTGTCATAATAACTGTATGGTTTATAGCTTCGACAACTGGTATCCGTAAATGTTGAGGTATACTACATCTTATTGTCGGATTTAAGCTTTATAAATGTAAATAAGGTTGCCGTGCCATACCTCTATTCACCACTACCTCAGAGTGTTATAACATATCAAATTCACATTTTAATGTTAAATGTTAACTTGCAGGATAGTGATGATCGTCTTTCAATTTTAATCCATTTTTGGCAGCGTTTTGCTGTTATGTGGTGTACAACAAACGTATATGACGTGTCTAATGTTAAAAGTGTTCTAGAAGGCAATATTCTAATTGAGGAATTGACCGATTTCTGATAGAAAACAATGTCTGATTTCACAAGAATATTAGTATTACACTATCGTCAATTCTAAATTTTGATTGATATTCGTTTTTGTTTATTTGAATGTTAAATCATTTTATAACCTGGATTGCTCCTTTAGTTATCTTCATTAAGTCAGACATATCCTTGTATCGGTATGTACTAATGACAATTTCTTACTGATATCTGATATCGGCTACGGGGTTGACTATACGCTTTTCGCGAGATCATTTTGTTTTACCCTCTTAAATGACATAAATTGCACCCTTTGTCATTTCATATTATGTTAAACCTGTTATTTTTTTTTTCTATCCAGGTTGGTGATACTGCACTATTCATTGCTGCATGGAAAGGGAACACAGAAATCGTCAAGTTGCTGATTGACGCTGGTATTGCTATCCATTTACAGAATCGGGTTAGTGAATGATCAATCAAACTGAAAAAAAATATCAAACAAATGTCAATATCTGCAATAGCAAAACCCAATTTTAATGCATCATATGTGAATGCCTAACTGTACAAATTTAGCTATTCTGTTGTGTGTTTTTGTACTTTTTTGTCATATAGCTCCTGAGGTTGCTGCCTGCTTACGCAAACCTCTCTTTCGAATGTTAAGGTTTCGGACGTTCCTGATAGAGGTGAATGTAGAAAAGCGCTTCGAAAGCACAACATGTTTAAGTGTTTTTGTTTTTATTTAATGTCATTTAAAACTGAATTAACATTAGCGATCGGTCACATTTGCATATCTTCCATGGACAAATTTAGAGTGCAGGACAATGCAAACGTTCGTGGACCCAAACAAATAATACCCTATAGTTGAGGTTACAAAATGTCGATTGTACATACTCGAATACACAAGGTTCTATTTTGACAATAAATAGGCTACAACCTTAGGAGCTATATGACAAAAAAGTACACAAACACACGACAGGATAGCTAAATTTGTACTAGTAATGAATTTTACAATCAATGAAAATGTAACTATAAATGAAATAATATCATACGAAATAAAAAAAAAATCCTTGTTCAATATGCCCAAACCAAGTGAAAATTAATCAAGGGGAACACTGATATAATTACTCGAAATTACGTAAACTGCACTGTTAAAAATATGACACAAGAGACGATGATTGTGTATCTAGTACGACATTGTTTCATTGCATGCGAAAGCACCAACTCGTTTAAGTCTACTGTAGAAAAGGCCGATTCCCCTGAACAATGCCGAAAATAACCTAAATTAAATCGTACACTACCATTTATGGCAAAATAAAAAAATCATATTTTTACAATCGATTCTTAAGGTCTACTGCAAATTGAAACAATAAAAAGACTGATCGAATGGAGTAAGCAAAACAACTGCAAGAGACACATTGTAAGAACAATTTAGAAGAACCTATTAACCAGTAGCGAAGGAGATATTTTTAAGAGGAATGCTTGATTGGTAACCATATGCCAAAGAAGTAGGTTAGATTATACAACTATCAAAGAAAAGAGGCTCCTTGATGAATTTAGAAATATATGAAAGCATACAGTTGTCAATGTATATAATAATAAAATATTGAGAAACTCTCTTCAAATCAGTTAAAACACTTATTGATAAGTATTGTCTATTACAATTAAAAATAGGGAGATATTCAATTGATATCTTATCTGTAAAACATTCTAAAACTAGGTATAAATTTAAAAAAAAAATGATGAAACTAATTTACGGACTAAAAGTATCAATGAAAAACCGCAAAATAACAGATATATGGTGGGAAAAACATTAATAAAACCCAATTCACTTGGTATAGAAAGATTAAAAACAGAAGCAATACGGAATAACTTCCTTCTTTTTGGTACTGAAGTTAAAAAAATTGTTATTCAATACAATTTGATAAAGGACTTTCCGTTTTGAATTTTCCTTGGAGTTCGGTATTTTTGTTATTTCATTTTTTATACTGATCATCATAGTGTATCCTTAAAACTACAAATGTCCAGAACTACAAAAGGGCAGGGATATTGGAAATTAAATGATAGTGTCATAAATGATCAAATAACATCTTATACAAGAAAAGCAAATGAATCAAAAGCCCTTAATATTCTATGGGATAATTGAAGTTTGAGATAAAACAATTCAATTTTGTAAATTAAAATAAAAAAATAAAAAAGAGTAAAATTCATGCTTTCGAAAACGAATCAAAAGAATTGAATAACGAAATTCATGCAACCTCTAATTTGTGTGGTAATAAACATTTGATAAATAAATCAAAAAGTCGAGAAGCAATGAGCGGATCTGTAAAAATGAAAGGCAATCAAATAAGATCACGTATAAAAAGGCTTGAAGAGGGGGACAGATAAATCATCGTATTTCTCAGGGCTTGAAAAAAAACTAGAGGATGTAAAAAAAAAACATTACTCGATGTATCATAAAAACAAAAATATAGTTACTGAACACGTGAAATTACATATCCTAGAAGTAAACTATTACGAAAAATGGTATTCGTCTACGAATTCAAATATTGAAAATACTATAAAATATTTAAAAGATTTTAAAAATTGCCCAAATGTAAGTGAATGAGAAAGCAGTTTATGTAAATATAATTCCACAGTTCAGGAATGTGCAAATGCAACATTCAAAATATAATCAAATAAAGCTCTTTATATAGACGAACTGAATGTTGAATTCTACGGTTACATTTGGGAAGAAATAAAAAAAACTATTGTATCCGTTTTTAATTTTAAGAAGCTATATAACTTATATACATATAAACATGATAAAAAGACTATCTATGTTATCAAATAACAATTGTCCTATAACCTTGTAAAGTTATGATGTAACATTATAAGCTTATGAACTTGCCCAAAGATTAAAATAAGTCTCAACAAAAAATCATTCATTATGACCAAAAAAGGCTACATAAAAAAAAAAGATGGATTCGTTTTAATATAAGACAAATACTAGATCGAATTAATTACCCAGATTTAAAGTAGATAAAGGTATCTTTTTTGTAGATTTGTCTCAAACTCCCTTGAGTGGCCATTTATGTAAGAAACTTTAAAAAACCATTTTAAAAGTATTTGTATAAGAAATGTTCAAACAATGTAAACGATCATAAAAAGGGTGTATACTTTATAACGGTAGGGTTTCAAGTACTTTTGTTATTTTTCGTGGGATTCGTCAAGGATGACCCATACATTCTTTAGCGTTTGTTTTAATAGTTGAAAGTAATGCAAATAAATCAAGACAAAATAAAAGTCTGAAAGGACTGGAAGTAAATTTAGATGGTAAAAACTGCTCCAATAAAATATGTCAGCTTACTGACGATACAACCTTGTTTCTGAAATCGTCAAAAGATGTTAAATTATAAGTAGATATCATTAAAACCTTAGGTATCTTTTTAGGACTAAAGTTAAACCGAAACAAAACAGAAAGATTTTTACGGTGAAATATTAAGAGTAGTAAAGACCAATAAAGAGTATACACTGAACCCATTTAAAGTCCTGGTTTTTACTTTGGGTATAACAATCAAATATGTCAAAAACTTAATACCAATAAACAGCTAGCAAATTGTGAGAAAATGATATCATACTGGACTAGAAAAAACTTAACATTAATATGACAGTTGTCAAATCATCAATTCTTCCAAATTAAGCAATGAAACCTCAAACATGTAAATAACAAAGAACATAATACAAAAGTTTAAAACTAGTGTATACCACTTTATATATAAAGTGAAAAAGACAAAGTAAAGTGAACAACGTTATGCAAGAAATATTGGGAAGGTGGACAAACAGTGATAGACATATATCTGTATCTAAACAGTAAAGGTTAAAAATGTACAAAGACAAATACAAAGAACACTATAACACGTTATTAAGATGATAAAAAAGCGTCCGTACCTAGAATTTATACTTCAAGACCGTCATGTTTTATTTGTGAAGTTGATACAGAATATTTATTAACAATGTCTTGGTATCTTCCGATTAACTTTTTTAACAATGAAATTTAAATGTGTTTAAACCAAATAGACGTCTGCTTAATTCACTAATGTTATGATATCAAGTAGCATTAACAAGTGCAGGCTGGTAATTGATATTCTATTTTATCGTTTTCCTTTGTTCTAAAGCGACCCCTCATGTGAAATTATGTAGGATAGAGGTCATTTTGGCCCTTTTGAATGTAATACAAGTTCAGGATCTACGAAGAAACATAAGTTCGAATCACAATTTGTTATTCGGATTAAATGTGCACTATTGATGAGTGCAAATCCAGTGCATTTTTTTTTCATTTTAAAGTAGGTCAAAATATTAGCCATGGTACATATTATACATGTAAAAAACACCTGTTCCTTAACTCACCTAGTTTTCATGCTGTATGTACAACACAATAAATCCTATAGGAAATGTTAATATTCAATAGGATTTACGAATTCCTTTATTACTTTCTCAACACTTTACAGGATAAAAAAAAAGATAAGGGATATAATCGGGGCATTCTTCGATTATAAGGCCAATAAAAACAGACAATACCATGGTCAAAAAGATAAACAACAGAAGGACAGACAACAATAGCATCACAAATCAAACTAAAGACTGGGCAACATGTACCCTACCAAAATATGTGGTGGTCCGGAAAGGTAAGCAGTTCCTGCTTCAAATGAGGGACCTATAATATTGCTTCAGCAAGTTAAAATCCGGTAAGATTTTCTTTCTAAAATATTACAACATAGAAGATAAGGACAAAATTGTGCGGAAGACACATTGGACATACCCGTATTCCTATGTAACGAAGATATTCTATAACTGTCAACCAAACCAAGATGGTGTCCCTAAACCTTTCGAATGGATGTTTTCAACTTTACAGCTTGGAACCCTTGATGCAATAGCTGCCCCGTATCGACGGCATCATTATAAGAAACACAACCCCTGGACTAAAGTATCAACTGGCCTATATATACTCGGTTTGTAACCGCTGCTGGAATGTTGCTACTGGACTGTAGATCAAAACGTTCTGATTATAAGCCAATGTTATTATGTAACATTTGAAAAAACTGGATTTTTTGGCAATAGAACTTTACTCAGCTAGAAAACGTTATAAGTTGATTGGTTGCCTTGTTTACTGTGATTTCCAAGTTTAATAAAAACAATTTTCTTCAGACAAAAATGGTTAGTTAACTCATCTAACGTCATTAAACAATAGATGCTATCAGGTCATTGTCAATGAATTTAGGAGGTGATCTCAGAGAAAACCATGCAAAATGGTCCAGAGGCAATGTTGTCCAAATTGTATATAACTTGGACAGTAAGTTGCAGCATGGATAAGCTTTCAAATGACAAAGTATTTTTTCGCAAAAATTCAAGATGGCTGTCACACGGAGTCCATCTTGAAAAATCATACCTTACTCAAAATGGCTTAAAAATGACAACAAAACA